CTGTTCATCATCAACACCACATTAGGAAGTGAGTCAGTGAACACAACACTCACAAAATACAAAATCTCAGAGGGAACCTCTGAGTTGGACGTTTTAAAGGAAGAACGCAAAATCATTTTTGAAAACCTAACCAATGAAATACTAACTAAAATGAATAACTCCATTAGAGTGAACTAGGACTCGGAATATAACAACATAGAGCAAAATATAATTTCAAATTCTGAAATATAAGCTCTGTTAAAAACAAGACAAACTCAGCTCTCCAATAAACTTGTAGAATACAAAGAATTACCACAAATATCAAAACATACTTTCACCAACCAACATGTAGTTCAACTTAGCTTTGGTTCCTTACCGTATTCACACACAAGAATAAACATGGCATTGGGTAATCTCATGTCTAGCATCAAATCACTTTTTGCGTCATTTGAGTCTTATGATCTTGTGAATCTAATGTTTATTCCACTCCAGCCTGTGAACTCAGCCTCTGCAGGTCCTCTTTGCTTGCTGCATCCACAAACTTTAAGCCATCTATGACCAAGGTGTCTCCGTCCTCCTGTATGTCTGCCTGACCCTCCTGCTGAATACATCAGAAAAACAACATAGGCACAATAGATCATGTACAGCGGGCATATTATGCCTCAGCAAATAAAATAATGAGGCCATTTCTACACATGATCCTGATCCGCATTACACCAGCAGTAATCATTTGCATACAGGTCTGTGTAAAGTGAAGTTATTGGATAAGTACAGTCATGGCCAAAGTTTTGAGAATGACAATATTTGAGAATATTTGGTCTAACAATACATATTTTTATGTTTCTTTGATTGTCCTGGAATATCAATGTTCTGATCCTAAGTGAAAGAAAAAGAACCACAAAGTATTCCATGTTCCTCCTGGATTACTGGGAGAGGATAGTCTTTGATTATTTTTATCTTATGCTTTATAGTTCTTGTGATTCAACTCACACAAGTTGTGAGACATGACTCCTCGTACCCTTCAACTATTCTTTAGATATTCCTATTCCAGTCTGTCGCCAGGCAACACAGAGACAGACAGGACAAACAACCGTGCACACACACACACACACACACACACACACACACACACACACACACACACACACACACACACACACACACACACACACACACACACACACACACATACTCACACCCAGGGAGAATTTAGAGAGACCAATTAATCTAACAGTCATGTTTTTGGACTGAGTACCCAGAGAGATCCCCGATCCCAGCCCAGGAACCCAGGACCTTCTTGCTGCTACCAACTGAGCCACTGTGCAGCCCCATTGTTAATTTTCTTGATGGAAAAAAAAGAAACTCTTTCATGTTAAAGGGAAAACTGATTTCTACAAAATAATGACACTTCACTGAAAATGTGTAACATAAAAGTAGTGATGCACTAATTTGTATTTGTCATTATTTTGTAGAAAACCATTTTCACTTAAACATAAATAGTTTTCTGTTGATCACAATTGAATTGTAAAGCAATCCAAAGGGTGAAAGATGTAACGATGAAATAGTTTTAGGCACTGAAAAACTGCAGTAATCTACGCAGAAACTATGCCTCTTTTGGTCCTACACTGGAAAATATTTGAATTAGGTTCAATGATTTACATTAATTTTTGCTGGCTCACTTTGATGGCAAAGTATGTAAAAGATACTGAGAGGCTTAGCCATAAAGGACAGCTAAGCACTTCCTCTTAAAACCATATATGACACTTATCCAATTAAGGTTTTACAAACCATTGTTTTTGGGAGCTAAAAATGCCAGTAATAATAGTCAGATTGCAGTAAGAACTTGTGGAATTTCAACAGATCTAGCTTTGCTGAGGAATAAATATAATAATCTAACATTAAGTGAAAGCGCAATACAATTAAATGAGATACATAGATTTGCCTTGGTGAAATAGAAAGTAACACCAGAAAGAAAACCAGATAAAGAAAATTAATGGAAACACACAGAAGCATGACAATTTCAAGTTTCCTCAAGGCTACGGCCGTAAGCTAAAATATCTGATTGAGATTTACTAATTATCTATATCATAGTTGAGTTATTCAGCGAGGTTTGACCATGTAGTTTCTTTCCTGCGTACCACTTTATGCCATCTGGGTCTGGACAGGGTGGTTTTTGTAAACCAGTCAAGCATCTCCTCTATGTCTTTCAGAAGCGACTCAGCCTCTGACAACACTGCAACGACAATGACAGAAACCTCAAAGTGGTATCTCTACAATTCATCTTCTTCAACAATCCCACTTAAATCTTTCATCACTTTGAAACGTCATGTGACCTCTCTATAGCAAGAACACTCAGAAGCTTCCATATTCTTTTAAAGCCGTCAATAACAGCTCAAGCGTTTGGGAATAAAACACTTCAGGCTTTGATGAAATGCCTCTTGTGTTGTGTGATATAATGATAAAAACTTCTAGCATTCTTACACTTTTTAAATCAATGCAAAACAATGTATGTACGTATCAGCATCGTTCTTTTTTTAGTGCAAACTATGTTGGGAACTGGCATTTGAAAGCAAGTTTGAAAGTGTCACACAGCAAGAATGTCATTCATGAGGAAATGAGTGGAGACATCTGATGTGTGCCAGAGTTCAACTTACATCGCTGTGTCTTTAAGGTGCATATCTCCAGTTCCTCTTCACACATCGTGGCATTGTTCCCTGCAGGTAGTTTTAGTGAAAAATATATAATATTATTTATATCATACCACACCTCTCACTGTTATTTTAGCAACATGTTTAATTACCAGGAAGCTGATGGCGACATGCACCTGAAACGCATCCTCTTTTTGCCTGTCTTAAGACTTTGGGATATTTTAGAAGCACTGGTTATTCCTATTTTTTGTGTCATTTGAAAGATTAATACAAATTTTTCAAATGCATAGAAAACTAAAGGAAAAAGTCCTTTTTAATTTTTTAAAAAGAATTTTAATCACTTTATTTTAGTACTTCTAATAGAAATATTAAGGACTAAATCTTTGGGAGAACAAAATCAAAAGAAGCAAGTGATAGCCAGTAGTAGTTTTTGCTTGGTTAGTTTGCACTATTGATCTTCTTTTTTGCAAAAAACGTCTATGCATCCATTTATTATCTTCCACTCATCTGAGTTGAGGAGGCGGAGACAACCGGTCCGGCAGAAAATAAAAATGTGTGTTCACTAAAATCTGAGAAGTATTTGTAATCATTTCATATTGCATTATATTGTTGTATTTGCCATTTAAATGTTCATTAACAGAAATGTAACGTTTAAATTGTGATTTCTCAGTTCTCCAATACAGCAATAATTTCATGCAGCTTTAATGCGTGGAAATGGAATTTGTTTAAAAATTGCCAATATTTATTTGGTTAATAATTTGCCTTACGTCTGTGTCCTGTATTTTATTATGATCATAATGTTGTTCAGTTGGGGCTTTGCAAAACCACAAAATCATTCAATCACATAGAAATTTCCATTAGAGTATTGGTTATCTGTATCAGTAATGGCAATTCAGGCCCTGTACTTGTTAGGTACTGGATTTGGTATTGATACCAAAATTTGCAATGACGCCTACCACTAATCAGGAATGTATTTCCTGTATTACCTCATCAAAGTAAGAAGAGATGGAGCTAACACAGCTGCATAAAGTTATTGGTCTGCAATTTGGTAAAGATGCAGAATAAATAACTTTTGAAAAATTCCCAGTTCACATCATTTCATGATGTGCTGCAGCATAAAAAAATATAAAATTAAATAAATATTGAAATAGTTGTGTACTATTTTAACACAAAATATAATTGATGTTTTTATTTCTCCCTTTAATTATCAGTGTACAGAATGAATCGTAACATATTCAACTAATTGTACGTTTTACAATTTAATTTAGACTAATTGAAATGTATTAAATAAATGAATTTGATAGATTGAGCTGGTGACTGATAGTGAAGGAACGACATACAAAATGTGTTTTTTATTAGGCCATTTTAAATGCTAAAACGTTGCCATTTCTGAAGGACAAACAACTCAGCAGACATTTATTCTTGCAGAACTTCTCGACAATGCTGCATTTACTGCGTTCCTGGGTAAAGCTAGCAGCTAGCTACTTTAATACGCCTTCATGCTGTTTTGAAACTTGAAACACGTCGTTAAAATGTTACTTTTGTGTGCATGTGCGTGTTAATTTAGACTAAACCTACCGTCAATCATACTAAGCTACTGAACGCCAGACATTCACCTCAACGTGGAAGCTGTCGCCAAAACCATGTGGGTCTCAAACGCCTAAATAAAAATTACGCTTTTATTTTGAAAGGACCTGATCAGTCAAGTGACTCCCGGAAGTTTTTGTTTCCTCACCTGTCAGTTCGGAGCAGCCACTTGCGAATGTCCAGCCAGCCTCGTCTCTTTGTGTTTTCCCCCCTCTCATACAGGGTCTCTCTTTTTTAGCATAAATGGTAGCTCTATGTGGCCAGCTGATATTTAACTGACGACAGCTTCTAACACGGTTAGTACGACTCGAGAGTGTACAAATAATGGGCTCATTTTTCATTCACCTAGCCAAAAGACTTTAGCAAAGCTTAGCTAGCTGTTATCATCACAACAGATCGTTCAGGTTTATTAGTGAGAAATGTAACAATGAGACTCATCACCCCATGACTGCGTTGTATTCTTCCGCATCATGTAATGGAGCTGTCTCTATTGTTATATTGCTGCTTTTTTTTAAAAAATGATTATTATTTTGAGATGATTGTTGAACCAAAGCTAACATTATAACGTTAGCAACAGCCTTTGTAAACGAGTTTAACTGATTGTTTACATCAAGATTGAGGCTGCTGCTGTTATGAAGATGTCTTTATTTATTTATTTTTTTTAATGAATAAAATGTTGCCCGTTAGCTTTTCTGTTTCGGTAAAGGAAGTGTTGATCAAAAATGACGCCTCATTTCTCGTCACGGATCACTCACATTTACTTTCGTTTTCTCTGCTTGTTGGGTTACCTTTCTCTGAGTCGGATATTAAAAGTAAGCGGCTCTGCTTTTGAGGTTGCTTTCGTCTTTTCAGCTGCGAATTTTGTCATGCTGAGACGTGTCTATGAAAACAGTTGTCTTTTTATTTGATAAAACTTGGGACGATTTGTGTTTGCTGCATCATTGCATGGTGACATCATCAACTAACATTAGCTGCAGTCTGTCTGGTGCTGGCCCATCTGAGGAAGATAACTGCTTTGGACTGCTATAGTTCTTGTTCTGCTCCTTTTGAGAATTTCAGACGTTTAAGCTTTGGTAGATGTTTTCTTGGTGGGATGTTTGACTTTTTTCGTGTGAAGAAAACCACACAGTGATAACAGCTTCTGTGTCAAGACAGTAAGTTTTCCATTTTCCCGTCAAGAAGAGAGAAGACTAGAGATGCTTCAGTCGGAGATCAGAATTGGGCATGACTATTTTTTTCAGATCACATACTAATAATACTAAAGTACTTGAATCTCCACCTTGTTCGGTATATAAATGCGTCTACTTCCAGCGTTTAGTTGACATTTTAAAAATTAGAATCACATGAGAATAATTCAAACATGAGTTCATTTGATATGATCTGATGCATATAATCACATGGTTCTGAATTAATCCCCCCATATAAATGGTCACTATAAGATAGTGACTATAATCCTAATATTCCAGTTCTTTTTTTTTGTCTGTCAGATTTAAAACTACTACTTCAGTCTATGCATTTTTCTCTTTATCAATTTTAATTCTTGGAAGGGAAAAGAAAAAAGCCAAAATCAACAGAGAAGAGCTCACTATTGGTCAGAAAAAACCCGATTGGTGTTGTATCTGTAGATATTTCACAATAAAATTAAACTAAAACTGTGCCCGCCATCTTTCTCAGGTCTTCCCGTCTAAGGATTAGGCCTCTGTCAAGACATGGAGCCCTTGGCGGTAGATGATGACATTTGCATCCTTAAGCATGAGACGGCCTACACGCCCGCCGGAGAGAGCCCGGTGTCGGTGTGTGCCGGCGACGAGTCTGTTGCCTCTCACTTCGCCTTGGTCACTGCCTACGAGGACATAAAGAAGAGGCTCAGAGACACAGAGCGGGAAAACACTTTGTTGAAGAAGAGGGTGAAGCAGTTGGAGGAAAAGGTACGGATGGAAAGTCGAAGATTGGGGTAGTGGGAGACAATCTTGAAAATATGGTTCAAGATGATATTTAAAAATAACCAAGTCAGCAAATACAACACTACACTATTATTATGCACAGCCTGAAAAGTGTCTATTTGAAGTGGCAAGTCATGCAAGAGATACAACCTCATGATGCCAGCATGATACTGTTTCACCACAGTGATGGGGGTTTTCATGGTGAGGTTTGGTGGGAGCACTTTTTATGTTGGGTAGAAAATTCAGTTTTGACCTCATCTGAGCAGAACACCTTCCTCCATGTTTGCTGTTCCAGCTACATGGCTTACAGAAAACTCTTTATTAATCTGGCCTTAAGTAAGAAGAAAGTTCTGACCTCAGCAGGCCAGCCGACCAGCTCTGCAAATCTCGGCAGCTCCTCCAGAGTGACCACAGGACGCTTACCTGCTTCTGTGATTAATAATAATATTACATTTTATTTATAAAGCGCTTTACATTTGACATGCAATTCTCAAAATGCTGCAGAGAAAGAGAAACACTTAAAACAATAAAAACTAAATTAGAAACGCACTTTAAAAGTCCACGGATATAGAAACAATTGAAAAACTATAAGGTTTAAAAAAGTCTTTAAAGATGTGGTGCTCCACAGAGCAACACTACACTCTTTCTATTCTTGAACAGTTACTGAACAGAGCTCCTTAGGACTTTAAAAAATTCCTGTAAATTCAGGTTTATTAAAATAGTTATGACTTGGAAAATTTGGAATGATGTTTTGCAACATAACCACACCTTAATCCTGTCCACAACATATTGGTTGTTTTCATTGGATTTCATAATAGCACTGATCAGAATATTGCTTGCAGTAGCGATTCTTGTGCAGAGCTCCTAGTGTGAAAAGTATGCAGAGCGAACCTTGCTCACTGTTATGCTGATGCATTCTTCAGGTATGTTATACCGGTTCAGTCTTTCGACAGTGTTTCGTCTTTCAGGCTTGCAAGTCACAGAATAGTAGAAGTGAGAAAAATTTAAGAGTGTGAAAAAAAGCTAACATTTTAGAGTGGTTTTCTTAGTGTTAGCATATTCTTTTTGGAAAAAAATGAAAGAAATAAAAGCTTTATTTTTACTGCTGTGCCTTGTATCATCAGCGTAAAAGTAAAAGAAAAATATCTCAAAGTCCTGTTACAGACCTTTCATTAAAACCCTAAAATTGTCTGTCAGTTTGGCAATAAAAGCTGTTATGTTTCTCTTCTTCAATATTTCATATTATTTTTCTTCACTGTAGCTCTTCAGGCCGGAGGCTCCTCCATCAGAGGGTCCCCATTATGTGAACAAGGCCTTCAGTGCTTACAGAGGAATCTACATCGAGAAGGAGGACCTGCAGATGGAGCTTAATAAACTGGTCTGTTTTTCATTTGAAGCCCTAATAAGCTAACTTTATATGTAATTTTTTTACATACATAAAGTGAAAATGTATTTTTTATGATATTGTGTCAGAACAGAAAACCTTTCTATATACTAGACAATCTTAGACTGAGAGACATAATTTGGTGCATTGGTCACCTTACTGCTGTTTACTTTCATTCTGTGTCAGAAAAAGGAGAAGAGCGAGAGTGAGAGGTTGCTGACGGAACAACTCCAAGCCAAAGAGTTAGAGCTACTTCAGCTGAGGAGCGAGATGGAGACCACCCAAGGTACAGGCAGAGCACACAGGCCCGCTCTCTCCTTCACACACACAACCAAAGCAGAAACCAGATCAGAAATGCTAGATGTGTGACGCAAAGAAAAGTAATGTTGTGCATCGTTTATGCCTTTGTTTGCCTTTAAAAATGAGCTCATATGGAGGCATGCATAGGTAAACAAAGTAATCTGTCATAAAATATTGTAATATATGATATCTGAATTTACCTTGTTGGTTGTTGAGGGGCCAGTTTATCCCAAAGGTCATGTCACAGTGATACCATCAGAACCACATTTTTTGTGTTTCTGATGGAATGATGTTTTGTAACATAACCACGCCTTGAAAAACAATGCATTTGTTTTTTTTATATATGTTTATATATGTGATTTCAATTTAAAATGTATTTTTCATATTTTAAAATGATCTATTTTATGATTTAAAACTACCTTTGAAGCTAAAATTTTGATAAAAATGTTTTTGTAATAATTGTTTAAGTTGTCTAGTTTATTAATTGAAACAAAGCTAGTTTTACATGTTAGATAATACTTTAAGTTATTCACATTGTCTTTTTAGCAATACAAATGAAATACCTAAATGTGCTAATTGTTTTACTTAATTAAAAATAATCTGAAAATGTTTTTGTATTTAGTTAAATATTGTTTGTTGGACTTATTTCCAGTGATGAAGAGCCTAAATAGCCCTCAGGACTGCTGGCAGTTGGAGAGAGTCGACACAGAGCAGCAGATCCGTAAATTGCAGGAAGACCTCGAGAGGGTTATGCTGGAGAACAGCCGGCTGCTGGAGAGAAGCACGGTGAGTGAAGACAGGGTCAGACAATAGTGGACAGGAGAAGATGCTGAAGTAACACAAACAAAGAAAGTAAAGTAGAAAAAAGCAGCTCTAAAGAGCAGGTCACACTGCAAGACTGTGCAAGTATTTCAGTACCGAGAGTGTATAAGATACAAAAGTTCACTGCTGATAGGAGGACAGAAGGGATAGAAGATCCAGACTGACACATGGAGTAAGAACTTCAAGTAATATCATGTAAAATATAATGCTATTGATGAGAAATAGAAATACATTTAAATATCACATTTTACCCAAAAGTGGGTAAGAGAAGGCAGGCACACAGTGAAGGTTGTTTCTACATCCTCAGTACAGAACACAAATGAGCTCAACAGTTTATTTCCGCTGTGTTGCCTTTTACTGGTGCATAGATTGTATAAAACATGTTATTTTATTTTTTTAACTATTCTCTAGCCAGTTGTGTTTGATTCTATAAAGTGTTCTTATCTTCTCTAACTAACCTGTGTTTCAGGAGGAGTCACAAGGCCTTAATGGACCAGACTTGAACCAGACATGTGATGGAAAGCATAGTTCAAGGTAGTGTGTTATGTTTTAATATTATTATCCGATATTAAACATTTTTTATATGATCACAAACTATAAATGTAACATTTGCCAAAAAAAAATCTAACATAAAAAAAATGTTGTTTATGTGATAATCCAACACAAAACGAATTCAAATTATTTAACCTAACATTTGCATAATGCTGGTACCACCCTGTTTCACCATTATAGTACTGTGTTCAGGATGTTATGCAGACGGATATGTGTTTTTTTTTTTTTTTTAAATACACCTAGTGTTTGAATTATGTAAGCCAAGTGATTCATTGACGTTTCCTCTGCATCACACTAATGTGCTATTTTGTGTTGGTTGTAAAAAAAAAAATTAAAACTAGTGAAATTCACTAAACTCTGGCTGTAACATTACAAAATCTGATAAAGTCCAAGGGGTATGAAAACTTTTGAGTAATTTAAGTTAAATATTAACATCCATTTTTCTGACATGTTATTATATCAGCAGTAAAAAAGTTACCCTATTTGAGTTTCTGCTTTTTTTCTCTGAGGATGTAGTTTTCATCACAAACACACACTGTTTGTGCAAACTACAGCTGGATTAGATGCTGTTGGGTTCAGATGAGATTATTAGATAAGCTGGTCATGCAAACTAAGGAGACTATGACGCCCAAATATTTTCAGGAATAAATATTAATTCCGTAACTTTTTTTTTCCTTCCTCCCTAGTTCATATAAGCAAATATAGTTAACTGAATGATTGTTGGAACCCATAAACTCCCACCTGCTCTTATTTTAGATGCCATGCAAACTTTGTTGTTTCAGTGTGAAATAATATTTAAAATGACATCATGCTATTACTGTGTAGCATAAGTTTAACTCATTCATTCATTGCTCTTAGCTGAAACCCTAGACATATCCTTTAAAATGAATATTTAAAAAGCCATTATCAGTGATACTGTATTCTATGTAAGCTATCTCTAGCTGTGCTTTCACAGTTGAGTGTACTTGTCCTGTTTGGCCACTAGAGGAGGGTGCCGCGTAATACACATCACATTCTGCAGAGCTCTTTGTTCAGCTCATAAGCTCCCCAGCATTTAGTTAGATCATAATGAGCATCTTATCAAATTTTAAGCTTTGGTTTTAATAACGTCTTTCTGAGATTTTAACTTCAATTAATTTCTCTTCACGTACGTGGTTCCCTGTAGTGTTTTTTTTGTTTGTTTTTTTTCCCCCATACAATGAATGTAAAAAAAAAAAAATCTTGTGCATTGATGACATGGAAATTGGTATTCCAGAAGAAATTTGTACGACCAGGAATCTTTAAATCTTTGAAAAGTGTGGACGGTTTTATCTTAAAGCACTTAAATAGCACAGGACCAAAACCACCTTAAAGACATTTAGTGTTTTTTTTTTCTCTTCCAGATTTAATATCACAGCATTAACATATCATAGTGTGATTGTCCCTCAATGACTGATCGGAGGTTCTTTAAATTTGTTGATGTATGTCCTCAAGGGCTTGCCATAATCAAGCATATTTTAAATTGCCTTTCAAGTTTGCTCAGGATATGTATTTCTGCTTTGTGATTTTATTTTGAAAAAATTTCAAATATAATTAGAATATTATTTGGCTTATCCATAGAAAAATATAAAACCATCAGACTGTTCTTTTTGCTGGTGACACTAACTATTTTGCTTCACTGTACTTGTATGTTTGTTTGCCATTTTTATTGTTTTTGATCTCTGTTGTCAAAGATCAGAAAAACATGTTCTTTTTTTTTTTTTTTTTTTGTACCAATGGAGGTTTTTATGTCTAAGGTTGTAACTTTGTAAACCAAGGTGATCAGATGCTGATACCAGAAGTGAAGAGACCAAGTCGAAAGTTCATTCTGATCCTGCAAAGATAGAGCTTCCTTCTAAGAAGGTTGCAAAAAATTTCAGGCTATTTCTGCTAAAACCAAGTACTGATTGAAGCTGTTTCACCTTGTTTTTTGTTTCAGTTTCTGTGTTTAGTTTTGACTCACAGGTGGTTGGCGGCTAATAAGTTGTGATTAGAAGAATTGTACTCAGAATTGGTCTCGCATTTCTCAGACTTGCCCGTCTATGCGTCAGATGTTTCGGCTAGTCTTCATAAATTGTTCTCCTGTTTAGCAAACAAGTGATGTGATCTGGTCTCATGTTCCCAAACCTTACAATTAGTGGTCAGTTAAAGCATTTTTTTAGTGTAGATGGCTTATATCAATCCACTCTTAAATTATTTTTACATTTACAGTTTAAATTAAAAGTAAAACCATACTGTCAATTTATTAATATTGTTTTTGCATATTTTCACAAATATGAAAAGCAATCAAATGCAAAAAAAAAAGAAAAAAAAAAGTATAGGTCTGTTTTGTTTTGTGCATTTACTATTTATAAATTTGACATATTATTTATGTCAATTGATCCCTAAAATAGTGTGTTAGTTTTCTTCATATATTGAAGAAAGCATATCAAAGTGCAATGGAATTTTGATAAAAGTGAAAAAATAAAGTCTGGAATTACTATAATCTTACTGACAACTGAAATTAATGAAGAACATGCATTTTTTAAAATATCTTTTTGTCAAATTTTAATTCCATCCAGTGAGTTAATGCCACTCCAATTTGGTTATTTGAAAATTCAAACATGCATTTATAAATGTCCTGCATTTGTAATGTTTTAAAAATGAAAAATATTGAATTAATTTCTTTTGTTAAATAGTCATGAGCGAAAATACTTGTGTGACTTTATTATTTTTTAACAGTAGAGAATCTTGGGGTTTTTTTTGTAGGTGTGTTTATAAGTGCTCTTCTGTGAAGTTGTACTGCCGATTCATTTTGTTTGGATATTTTAAGAGCATCATAATTTATGAGGTATTTTATGTTATTTTATTTTTTCCTAGTCATGTTGTGTTGTTGAATAAAATAGCATTAAATCCAGTAGTTCAGTTCAACCATGGTATCACTGTTGTAGGTGAGGAATTGTTTTGTCTCAGAATCTCTGAGCTTCTACGAAAATGTTTCTGATTAATGTGAACTTCTGCTGCTAGTCCATTGTCCTCACTGCAAGCACATCCACTGATGGTGTTAAATGTGTCAGCGAAGAGACAAGTCATTCAGCAGAGACACAGTTATCACAAAGAAAGGCACTCCAGCAGCAGGCCATCGCATGAATAATTGAATTAAGGTTCTTTTACGTTTTTTTTTTTTTTTTTCTAACCGTATTCCTGCTTTAGGAAGCTGTTTAAATCGTGAAAAAGCATTCCCCCCTCCCCTAATTTTAAAGACAAAAGGTTTCCCCCATTTTATTACCAGTTCGCAAGATGCTTCCTCTCATGTTTCTGACACCACCATGTGGTTTAAACTAAACGTTCCATCCAATCCGCAGGGAGAGGAACATCCAGCAAACGTATGCAGCTTTGTGCTGCGAAGTCACCCGTCTCCAATCAGAGATGAGGCTCCAGACGGCTCTGATTACGAAGCTCAGGCCACTGATCGGCGAGACGAGACAAGGTGAGCAACACACACACAGAGGAAGAAGGTGTATTTTATCCATCTTATTCCATGTTTGAGTTTTTGTTTCTGTGCATTGTTTGTGATGTCTTGCATCTCCGCTCCCCTCACTCATTTTCACACCATCTTCATTGTTACAAGAGAGGACAAGCTCTGCTAAGATAATTATACTTTTAATCTTGTGGCAGGAGATCATTTTTTTTGGATGCATGTCCAATTTACGAAAAAAAAAGAATATTAGTAACTTAAGTCAATTTTGTTTTTCAGAATTTATCACATTAGATAATCTGACATTTTTAAAGTGAGTTTATGTTGTTTGTCAGATGTCTTTTACATTTGAGCACTCACATTTTAAAATTCTCGAAACAAAAACTAAAACAAAAAAATAAATTAATCACAAGAAGCAGATCACTGCTGTATCTGTCTGATTTTCCAAAAAAGTTCTGCTTGCTAAAAAGCAGGCCGCATCTTGTTTCGGTTTCTGCAGAGGTGTCATGAGAAACGAGGTGCCACTCAAACTACGGAAACGCTTTAATAAAAGGCATTATGAAACGGTTTGTTCCCCCGCTCCCTTCCTTCCACACGGCCACCAGCTGTCAATACCTCTGTTGTCGAGTGACGGGAGAGGAGGAGGCCAGGAGGTGAAAATTAGAACCAAGGATACAGCAGGAAAATAAACCTTGCTGCATTTATCCCACCGAATAGTCGTCTTGTGGCTCAGACGAGGCAGATGGAGCGAAAGAAGCGAAAAATACAGAAAGGGGGAGGAGATTGTGCTGTTATTTATTCACTCATTCTGTGCATCTGTATTCTTCTAATGCTCCTCCTTTGGAATCACTTTTATTCAAATCCTAGACTCAGGAGACCATCTCATGGAAGCATAGCAAGGCAGAGATGGATGGATATATGATGTGTGGAAGAAGAGAGGTATGGTAAAATTAATAACAAAGAAAAACAGTTGCACAGTGAGTCTCATTTAAACTTCAATATTTGCCCAAGGTGCTGATTCGAAATCAAAGCCGCGGTGTGTGTTTCAGATTAGATGCTGTCCGTACAGAGACAGGTGGCTTTGTCTATGCAGGGAGGTTAGTTTACTGTTGTTTTTTAGTAAAAGAAATAAATGAAAATAAATTTTAAAAATTAAAGAAAGAAATATTTATTTTAATATTTCATAATATGTGCAGATATTTCTCAGTAACAGTGCTTAAAGTAATATGAAAAACATAATTTGTATCTGTGTCATATTAAAATGTCTTCCAGCATTAAAATATTGCCATGAATTTCTTTAGTTTTTCTTATCCACAATAATCATACAGCAAACAACTTAAATGACGTTTAAAAGCAAGAGTTGGGTGGAAATATTTGAATTTATTATGAATTTTCTCACATCTACACAGGCTTTTATGCATACGGACTCAAATATAGACACACCCACATTTACGTTTCCTTTAACAAGATTTAGAGAAACTACACGATTTTGGGTGCATCTAAAATAAATTTTGGATGGTTGTTTGACCGCTTTAATCCTTGAAGAGGGTAGAGGTCATCTAAATGTATGGAATCCCTGATTTAGACCCTGCTGTTTCTCAAATTTTCACTAAATGGATTGGAAAATCTGCACTAAATCTGCAATAAATTCCAAATGTTTACCCAGTTCTTGTTTTTAAAGATTCTTATTGTGGTACGTTGTGCAATCATCCCACCATTCCAAAAAAGGCAGGCCAAAAAAATCAGTAAGGCCTCAAAGTAACATGACATTGATAGCCATAATGTCTATATGTAAAGTCCTAACAGACTATGCACGGTGTAAAACTACAGGTCTTGGTATAATACATCAAATTAATCTCAAAACATCTAAATATTTCTGAGCTAAACCTCCTACTTAAATATCCTAAACATTTGACTGAATAAAGAGGAGTGCTAATGTAAAACACAGCAGCAGATTCATCGGTTTCCATGACTGACATTGCCACCGTCACAGTGTTGCTTTTATAAGTTCTCAAATGCTAATTTTTTAAAATATGTTTTTTATCGCTCAGCTCTTTTTCTTTCTCTCTCACTATTATCTCTCCAAAACTTTCTCCCACCAGCTACTTCAACCGTCCCTGTCCAGTGTCTGGACGACGTGGAAAAGAACAACAACCACCTCCCAGTCGTTCGGGCTCCTGGGCCCCGCCCTCCTAGCGCCCCTCCGGTCCCCTCGTGCTCCGGCCGTCCCTGTCCTGCTGTCGGCGGCCCGCCTGCCGGCCCCCCTCTGCCAGACAGCCTTAGGGAGGACTGCTGGTACAACGGGCCCTGGCCCTCCCAGAGCTGTCTGGTGGAGGCGCTGGTCGGCAGCGAGGCCTGCGCCGTGATGCTGCCGCCGCCCCCCCTGAATCAGGCCTCCCTGGACGACAGCTCACGCTCCTTCCCCAGCCCCCCCAAGCCCACCGACGCCATGTTCTGGGAGGGACACTCCAACGGATCCAATTCGTCATCGTCACTGGGAAACTTCACTCCAATAAGCCCCCCCAGTGCTGAGTGGGCCAAGCCGTATTGATTAGACCGACAAGTAATAACAGGGCGGAAACAAAAAGAAACCAACAAAGTCTCCAGCTCGGCCACACAGCTACCACCTAACCTGCCTTAAGCTAATTTAGCCACTCGTTGGTGGTGAACTGGTTTGGACCTGCTTCTTGTGGGAACCGAATAAGGCCAGAGGAGGTCCTTTTTGAGGTAAAAACTGTCGTCTCCACACGCCGCATCGGTGAACATATCCGACTTTACAGAGAAACATCCGACCCTTAAAACAATCCAACTCATATCTCCATTTGTATGTGTCCTTGTACGCACATGCATTAGTGTGTTCAAGCATGCATACAGGCAGTTTAATTTGTGTGTTTGTGGGTGTAAATTCACATGAAACATCGTGCCTGTGAATGCAGAAACAGTGTGCGTGTGTGGGCCTCTTCCGCCTGCCTTTTTCATCGTAATAAACCTAATAGGGCTCAGAGGGGCCTCCTTTCTCCACACATCATGGCCCCGGATCACTAGAGCCACAACACTGTAGTAGAGTTTGTATAATTGTACCTCCGCAATGCAATTTCTTTCTTTTTTTTATACATTGGATCAATGTAAATTGTACAAGGTATGTAGCCCCTGTTCGTCTCATCGTGTTATGGAGATATGTAGGAATGAAGGCTTTGGTACAGTGATGAAGACGGACATATAGGAGCAAATGTAGATTTTTTTTTTTTTTTTTGTTCCAAATTTCAGCAGCTACCAAATTAAAACTGACCTATTTGCACCCAAAAATTACTTTTCATTTAAGGCCTTAAAGTCTTCTACCTGTGTGCACTGCATCTCTCTGGAGATTTTACGTATCAAGAGATTTTAAGTATCATGTTTCACCAACCTGCCTCCTTAAATTCGCCTGTGATTATTTTATTGAAAGAGAACTTGATGGGGTGGAGTTCTCGGTTGTTTCTCGAATGTGCATTTCTGTTTGGTTGGCCGCTAAAGACCCATACACTCCTCTTCAATTTTAAAGGGCAAATATCATTTTTTCCATCTTTTCGATTGTGTTCAAGTTTGTAGATCATAATTTGAACAGTTGTGCTAAGCTCAAGGCATCCAAGAAGGGGACCAAAAGTTGCCAGAGAGTGAATGCTGTACATTTATTTTCAGTACCAAAGTAGTTATAGTGAAGAGGCTGCAGCTTGGTTTTGAGTTCATGAAGTGATTCGTGTTTATCTACTCCAGTGAGTGAGGAGGAAGCCAGGAGAAACGTCCTCTGAAAGCAGTAGCTTGAAGACCTAACAAACCGGAATCCTACCCTGGAACTTAAAAACACTGTTGCGTTCCAGATCCAGGTGGAAAGTAGTGGAGTACATTCATTGAGTACTGTACTTAAGTACATTTTTTTCCACCGTTGCTTGCAATTCACCACAGTGGCAGATGACCTCTGATTAAACTGTAACTTGAAACACTAAAATTGTGGCAGAATTAAGATTAATTTGATGACTAGTTGTGAGATAAATCTTGTAAATCTTGTTTGGCAAAGGAAACACCGTTAAGTCACAATAGCCTGCTTCATTGTAGCGAGGTATGTCTACGCAGGTCTCATTTTTCGCCACATAATCAGTCAGCTTTACTGTTGAGAGTTTTACCTCACTAAATGTATGAGCCAACTGTGTGAGGACACAGTTTGCAGCTAAGGCTAATTATCATGGCTAAACATGTTAGGGGATACCTCTGGAGAAAGGGTTATTGATTTCAAATGATTTGCCAACATTAATAGACATGTTTTACTGACAGAGAGCACAAAGTGTGAGATTTTCTATTCAGGAAAGCATTTCCCAAATCCAGTAAACTTTATGCTCACAAATAACAGCTGTGGTCACTGTGGCGGTTTCTCTGCTTACTCTGTTCTGTCAGGTTCCTTGATGTTTACTTCCACTTAGCTTATTCATCGATGCATAGATAATCTTTGTAGAATGCTCTTTTTTTTTTCTGTGTTGCCAATAAATGGTTGTTTATCTATTCCACATATTTCTTCTTGAAAGGTATTTTTGTATCAAGAAATCACTCTGGTTTTTTTTACCCAACAGCAACCCTTCATACATGGTCATCATCCACGTGTGGCTCTTAATTCCTGCTTAAAAGAAAGGCGAGACTACAGTTTTCAAAAATGCTTTAAAAACAATCTGCTTTGAAAAAACTTTTTTTTTTACTTTCAGTTTTTTTTTTATTTTATGACTCTTAAATATGATATTTGCCCTTTAACATCTGAGACAACCTTTGTGAATATTATGAAAGTGTATCTAATCTTTGCACTGTGCTCTTGTTAATGTTGCTGTTAAATTAAGAGAAGTGTGGGGCGATTTCTATGAGGCAAGTTTAAAAGGTGTACAAATGCAGACGTACTGTGGGAGAGCACAAGAAACAGAATGTGCGTATCTGTATAAATGTAAATGGTGGGCTTCATTACTTTGCCAAATGTGATTCTGCACTTAATTTTTTTTTTTTTTTTGTATAATTTTTCCTCCCTGGACACCAAGACCTCTGATTTGATTGAGAGCCGTCTGTGATGGTGGAAAGACAATAACTTAATGACCTTAAGAAATGTGAGCTGAGACTTGGAAAATAGGGTGCACAAAACCCCATGGTTGTTAAAGTTTTTGCTTTCATTTGTTTTTCTTTATTATTTTTATTTTATTTTTTATTTTTTTGCAATTTTCTTCAATCAATTTCAAAACTTTTTTTTTTGTTTCTTAAATTTTTTTTTAAATGTTATTTTACAGCTGGACTTTCATACTTCTCGAAACAATTTGCAAACCAAAATGCAATGTATAGTAGATATGGATTATATTTTAGACTTTCCACACTTCAGACTGTTTGTAAATATGATTACATAAATAAATGAATGAAAGCTACCTACTGTGTGCTGCTCTCCATTCCTATTTACAGGCATTAGAGGGTTAAGGTACTATTGTCCTAAAAACATGCACCTTAGTAAAGTAAAATAAAAACGTGAAGGCTTTACAGAATTGCATGCTGCTCTATAAACATTGAAGAAACTCTTAGCAAATCATTGCATTTCTGAAATAATGCAAGGATTGTTTCCTTGCAAGAAATGGAAAATTGCACAAGGCATTTTTTTTTTCGTTTTTGTGTCTGATTTTCTAAATTCACATGTAGCTTCCTGCCATTTTCTTGCCGGAAACATGAGCTTTTTTAGGCCTGCCGTTTTTGAAGATGCGCTAATATGGACACGTAGCACCTATACGACATCAAAGATATGTTCAGTGCTTTGCAAACGCATTAATACCCAGAGAGACACATATTGCAACCACAAACTTTTCTCATTTTCATGCATTTGCACTGAACCCCTCCCTCTGTTGCTAGAAGCAGCAAGGTTTCTGGGCAATATCTCTACTTGCTTTACAAAGAGAGTGAAAGTTTGTCCATTCATGTTTGCAGAACTCCTAACCCTCAGTCAGCATGTAGGTAAATAGCAATGATTAACTCTTAATTGTGAATTGAATTTAGCTCTTGGCTTCTACCGTACAGGCTTTGATGTAAAGTCAACCACTGTTGTAATTCCATCTAATAAGAAACAAGCTCACCCTTAAAATTTATTTGCTTTCTAGATTTTCCTGTAGGTTATTCGATCCATCAAAAAAAAATGTACCCAGAGCATGATACAGCATGAGCATATTCAGGGTGATGTGGAAGGTTAGTTTCTATTTTGACTTTTTACAACTTCAATTCAGGAGAATAAACAGTCATTTGTACATCTCCCACTTGTCCCTTAAATCTCTGCAGCTCATCCAGTTACCAGAAACATCTTAGAAATAGCAAACCAATACAGATGGACATTCAAGTCTTGGTAGGTTTGCAATTTTGCCATCCTCTTTCCATTTTTGAACAGCGCTTGCCAAGATGTAAAGTTTTACCTTTTGCGTTATGTCACTCTGCCATAAACTTCACCTCCACTCCATCCCTGACCTGTCATGTCTTCATCATGCTGTTCTTTCACTAATGCTTATGAACAAACATCTTGGAAACCAAGCATTGTTTACCTTCCACTTTTTACTAATTTGTGTTGGCTTGTCAGACAAAATCCCAGCAAAATTCAGAATCTTAGACAAGAAAACCATGACATATCACAAGAGTGATGGAGAGAGCTGGATGGAAAGGGAAACTACAGGCAGCAACTGCTTTACAGAGCAGTAGCATGTAGTGATATATTCCTGTCTGATAAAACACAAAACCTCCAGCCAGGGAAGTTCATGCTTGTTGTAGTGCTAAGTTGTGGGAAGATTCAGGTAATTAAAATCCTAACTATTCCACTCATATGAATCTTGTTATTCAGCCAAAATGCTCAAGTCATGCTCAGCTTTATCCTAGGTTAACAATGACTCACAATAAAACCTTGTTCAACACCAAAATAATGTTCAATCTTTTTTTCCTACATTAATGCATTTTATGAAATCTTAAACTTTTTTAAAAAGCATATTGTTAATGGAAATTAAAATGTGATTGGTACCTCGGTGTCTTCAATTCCAAATAATCATCCTCTCTGGTGTTGTCTTTTTTTTTTTTTTTTTTGCCAATTCAGAGAATTGACTGTTTTAAGATCATTATCTCAACATTTTTTTAAAACAACAACAACAAAAACATTGTTTAAATGGTCATATTTAAAAATATCTACCTATAATTTAATTTTATTGACATTTCACAGGACTTGGTTTTAAAGAAATGGCAGATAATCAGTTGAACTTTTATTCCTCGGAGTGCACTGTTCAGAATGCAACACCTGCTAAAACCACAACATTCAATGAAAACAATTGCACATAAAACTGAAAAAAATCTAATTGTGTGAAATCTTTTCACACTGTGAATGTGACAATTTTACAATGAGTGTTGCATGCAAGACACTTTTCACTTAAAGCCATTTTTTTCACCAGACATTTCTACAGTACTCAAATAAATTACAATCTTATCAAATTGGCTCACATGTCTTTTCGAAGCACTATCAAAAGCCACAGTTTAAAAAAAGCCACATATACAGCATTTTAACCTGGATATGCAACATCCAAGTTAAAATGCTGCTGTCCCAGAAATTCCTCAGGACTGATCCCATGAACATACTTCACCTATGACTCATTATGCACATGGTCTGGACATTAAACAAGATCATTGAATAAAATCCACTTCTGCAAACCAAAGAAATGGTAAATATGCCGAAGATTTTCACACGATGCAGTCATGTAGTAAGTATGAGTGGAAAACGTGGCTAAACTGCCTCCAGAGTTCCTGGAGTCTGGGCACGCAGAAGAAAGACATGTGGTTATCAGCTTGATTGTTACATGCTGGTTGGAAGTTTCTGGGTCCTGTTCTTGGTCGGTATCCCCGTCTTCTGAAATTCCAGTTTTTCTTGAATGTACAGTCGTTTGCATTCTTCGAAAAACGCCGGATCCTGGTAGCTGGAGGAGAGCAGAAAGTACAGAGTCACAGCTATTGGACAAGTTTGGGAATGATGAGACTGGGCAGGGAACAGCGGTCGTATGTAGAAGAAAATCAGAAACCCTGAATCAGAGCTATTGGCGGCGTTTGTGTGCGGTGCTGTGACATCTTGGGGTGCAAGAGCTGAGAGTTGTAGAAACTTGTGCAAAATACTCACTGTTGTGTCAGGCACTCCTTCAGGGCCGAGTTTTCTTCTCGACACTTAAACACCATAAAGAAGCCGGACTCTTTGCAGCAGCTGTTGAAGGCTGGAAGAAAAGAAAACAGGAAATCATCTATTCTTAGTTCAGTTCTGATCAATGATCCACAAGAACCTACTTTGTTATTCAACCAAAGTCAAAATCAACCAATTGCATACACACTGGTGCGCCTTTCTTACTTCATTAAAAATCATATAATGAAGCATTTTCCTCATTTGATTCAAAGCAACATCTGTCCAAGAATCTGTAGCAAATTTTTTCATCTTTCATGTTACACTCCTTGGAACACAAATAAAATAAAAATAAATTTTAAAAAAATCACAGAATCGACAGCTCAGACTTTAAAGAAAACTAGTGCATCTTTTATGAAAAAAAATATGAATTCATGATGCATTGATTAAAAGGGCCACTTTTTAGAAGTTAGATGTGATCTGCATGATGTACAAGTTAACAACTAAAATGGCTTTAGGTTGTATAGTGATGTAGAATGGAAGTCAATACAATTTCACCTCTTCGCAACTCTTAAAATCTGTAATTGTGAGTCTTTATAGACAAAATTACACCACATCCTTAACATCTAGAGCAAGAGAGGAAACTGTGTTAACTTGTACTTCGACATGTGCAAGTTAAGCTACAAATGATCACAAAAAAAACAACCAAAGATTGTTCATGTTAAAATATTTGCCCTTATGTGAATATGTATGATGAATCAATAATACATTTAAAAACACATTCGTCACAACCATTAAGAATTACACAAAAACTTACATCGCATTAAATTTAGAGTCCTGACAGCCCGGGGATAAAAAGACTGATAAAAACTGTTTCCGTAGTGGAACGGAGCATTGAGCATTGTGTGAAGATAATGGGCGAGTCTGAATTGAAAGCAAACACACACTTTGTAGACCACATTAACCTGGTGACATGTTATAGGAACACTAAAGTCACTCCTCTTCACCTGCTCATGAACATAATTTTACTAGGGCTGCAACTGTTGTGGGAAAGCTGTCTGCAAGACTGTTTTTATTGGAGTTCTCAACCACTGTTCCAGTCGTGCATTTGTGAGGTCAGACACTGATGTTGAACAAGATGCCCTGGCTCACTGCGTCCATTCTCATTAATTCCTGAAATGTTTTTTCAGATTAAGGTTACACCAAACTCCCTCATTCAGTGTTTTAGACTTAAATTGGGCCATGCAAATGCACAATGTTACCTCCATATCATGGTGATAATATTCTTTGCAGTAACAATATAACAATATATACAAGATATAACAATCTTGCTTAGCAACAATATTTAGGATGTTGGTTGCCACGATTTCTATCAGATGCGGGACAGAGAATGTTCATCCTGCAAGCGACTGAATAAAGGATGCCTCAAACAGTCCTTTGTAAATAGGGGTATTACACATTTTAAAACTGTTGATTATGATTCAAAATATCATGCATCTCTGACCCCGTCCCACCCATAATCAAGCAGTCCTAGATGACACTTTAGCGAGTCCTTCAGGGGTGTACCACAGCTGCTGTCACCCAGCTCTCTACACACAGGAGCCGACTAGAAGGTGTGGAAGACCGAGTCTTCACCTTGTTAGCAAGTTCTCTCTCAGAGGTTTAATTGAAAGGGCCGCCCTCACATCTTATCGCTGACATCAGTATGGTTATCACAGACGTTGTCATTAGGATGCAAATGTAAAAAAAAAAAAAACAACCAAAAAACCAATTTAGAGAAGCACAAGAGCGCGACTAATCTAATCAAGAACCAGCGGCGCCTCATCCCTGTCCCATGGTACTGATGGAGACTGCAGAGGTTTGCCTCTCTGACCAGAACCGCAGCAGCTCCACCATCTGCACCGCTGTGTGGCCAGTTTATTGTCAGAGGAAGCTGATCTGAACAAATGTACTATGGGCAGCCGGGGTTGACATTTGTGTAGACCAAAAGAATAGAAGTGCAGCAGTTAGTGTGAAGAGGAATCAAATGGCATCTCTAAACTAAAGGAAAAAAAATGTTTTAAAGGTGTTGCGTGAACTAAGCCTGAAAATGCAGTTTAACTTTAACTTGTGTGCATTAATTTAGTAAGGAAGCAAGGAAGAGGATGTGTGATGCTGAGGACTGATTTTTTTTTTCTCTCTCAAAAGCTCTGGGACTTTTGTTAGAGTGTGTGGCATCCTGAGCTCTTTGAAAAGCCCCATGATAATCTGTTTCCAGTTTACTGTCAGAGGGATTCAAAGAGAGCATGACGACACAGACACTAACAAGATTAGCAACAAATCTGGAAGAGAAACAGGCCCACAGCATCACACATTACCTAGCTTGTTTCCCCTTACTGAATAAATTAACACAAGCAAAAGGTGTATATTTTCAAAAAGATGCCGGCGTAAAAAATGACAGTTGATCAAAGATTAAAGTATTTTTCTAAATATTTTGAGATTTCAAGGTTTTCTTCACCTGGATTGCCAATATATGTAAAGGATGCTACAAATTTGGGATTTCAATTTCAAAAGGGAAAGCTGATTATTCTTAACTTTGTTCTCAAAGATCTGAGATAAAATATGCAAGCAAGATGGATTCAGTTTAGCGAGAACATCAAAATTGTTATGCTAATCCTGAAAGAAGCAATTATTGTGTACTTTATATGCTTTTTGGCATGAAGAGAGAAGAGACATGAATCATCAACATGGTGTCAGGTTAGACTGAGAAGAATCTGTACAGGTCAGTGGGACTCGTCTGAAGTGCAAGCTGCAGAGGCGTACACGCAGAGAAAGATAACACAGGAAAACATTCTTGCTCCTTGTGTTTTTCACCTTTTTTTGTATATCTCAAACAGACACATTCAGAGGCTCAGAGAAAACAAGACATAAAAAAAAAAAAACACCCAAAAACAAGAGCACGAGAGGGTGGTGGATGAAGGTGTGAAAAATGAGTGAGAAGAGAAGCCTGTAACGTAATGGGGGTTTCCACTACACACGCAGACACTGACTGTCCCATCACCTCCGCCTGTGCATGTGCACGGACTCCCTCTGAGAGCAGCACCACGCCGCCTCATGCAGGCTGTCGTCGGATTTCTGCAAACCACAACAACGAGGTATCAGGCTGATGCGTCGCTGCAGTCATGAGGGCACACGAGAGCAAGGCTGCGACCACTGTGTTTTTTTTTTTTATGCAGACGCAGTTTCAACAGCTGTCGAGTCAACTGGGAAAGGCTCTCAGTTGACGGAGCAGAAGGCGACTTGGGATGCAGGTGCAGACAACGAAAAGAAAGTAAGAAAAAAGGGCCAAGACGTTTGACAAAGAGGAAAAAAGACAATATTAAAAAAAGATTAGGGAGGGACAGGAGCTTACGATTATTTTTTTCACAAACAAGGAATTGATTAAGTCAAGAATGCGAAAGGTAGCTTAATCTTAACATTTAACGTGTTTTGGTGCCAAATATGTGGATCAACCCCAGACAAAACAAAACAAAAAAACAGAAGGCAATTTGATGACACTATATGAAGCTGATGAGAGCTGGTGGTGTCATTACTCAAAGTAAAACGAGACCTGTGCCAATGTGGACTGAAAGACCATTGAGCAAGAAAGAAGTCATTACATAAAATACTCCAAACTCACCAAAAAGCTGGCAAATTTTAGACACAGGTCATTAAGTCTGATGAAGCTGAAAGATTCATTCAAGTGTTTGACCATAAGTTGGGGCACAACAGGTTTTCCAATTGGACAAAGATGCTAAGAATACCTCAAAAACAGTTACAACAAAGCCAGTATTTTGGAGTGGCTTTCACAAAGCCCTAATCTCAATCCCATGAAGAACAACCAGCAACCCTAACACAGTTACAGCACTTCTGTGTGAAGGACTGGGGCAAAACTCCAGCAAACTCTCATGAGACAATTTTGGAAGGAGAAGAACTTGTGCAAGTTGTCTGCTTTTTTTTTTTTTTTTTTTTTTTTTTCCAGAAATGTAAATATCATATGAATGTGTTTATCCATGTGTTTATTTTACAGGTAAACAAAGTACCTCTGGCTAAGAAATAAATGTATTTATCTACCAACTTAGAAATTGTCAGTTCAAGACTCAGTCACACATCAAATTTCTCTTGAGGAAGACATTCAACACATCCTCCTTAACATAACAAACTATATCTAATCACATGTGTGCATTTAGCTAAGAATGTGAATGAGCACTAAGTGGTCAGGAAAAACCAGAAGACATTTACCATGTTATTACTAATCCCAGCTACAAGTCTATCTGATCTTTCACCAGTTTGCGCTACAATTTCATCCTTTTAAATTTTAAAATTGTCCTTGTCAATAAATCTGTTCCTAAACTTGTACCTACCTTTTGCAAATCAGTTTCTCTTAGTTCTTAAGCATTGTAAGAAATCACAGAGGGAAATAATCGCATTAATTTCTAAAATAATGTAGTTTGAATATAAGATACTTTTAAGATATTGCATAACAACATATTTCAATTAATTGAGGCTCTGATCTTTCAGTTGAACCATGATCAAACCAAAATAACTAAAGCTAAGCACCTCTAGCTTTTCTACAGGACATTCATGGTTCAAATGTTTTAATATCACAGTAGGGGATTCTAAAGACAAATTCTCCTACAAATAATGAAAAAAAAAAACACTACCCTAAAACTGGCTTAAGGTTTTTGAAACATGATAAAGAGCCATTTCACTGATTTTGTTGGCTCTGGACTAATTTGGCCAATAGCCTTTATTTCAAAATCTAGAGCTCTTGTACATGTCAATTACAACTTAAATGTAAATTATTTACCTACTCATCATTGGTCATCCAGTAAATTGACATACGACATGGTTAAAACTGATCATATATAAAGATAAGCTCAGAGTTATTTATCTTTATGGGACATGTTTATAATACTTTCATATTTATTCTAATGGGAATAATATTAACAGTTGGCAGTGGTCCAGTTAGAGATCCAGACTTTATTCCAATGGTGATTTTGTGCTAGAAGCTAAAAGATTGGGCTGATTGGAAGGTCTTGAGACCTCAATGACCTTGAGGTGACCAATTCATGACCAATTCTTCATTTCCAAAAATCCCAGTGGAGACATGCAAAAAGCTGATCAGTAATTATAAAAAGTTTTCAATTGTCACTTAAGACTTCTCCATTTATTACTGAGATGGATATAAATTATGCCCAAAAAGTATTTCTGTGTTAAAAAAAAAAAGGTCAATAACAACAGAGAATTTACTTACAAAATACAACCTTTTGCAAAACATGTTCAGGAGGATTTTTCAAATCAGAAACAAACATCTTGGATGAAAGAAAATAAATCTAGACCTAAATCTGCCAGATGCATGAATATTTTTAGGTCAAACTCTACAAAGAGCAGTGAGAGTTAATAGTTATTTCCTGACTTGTTTAGAAGGTTATAAGAACTATGATCTCCTGGTGTAAAAGTACTTGATGGGATACATTTTGCAGGTGCAACGAGTGCAACTGTGTTTCGGACTGTTTTATGCAAAAAGTAACTTTTGGTTTGGTTTTAGTGCCTGAAGATGAGTTTTCTCTCTGTCTGACCTTCAACTCTTTCTGCACAGCGCTCCTTGGCTTTCTCCCTCATCATCTTGGGGATCAGGACATCCTTCTCCACGTGCCTGAGAGGGAGTTCCTCTGGTGATGCAGTTGAAAACAAACAGAAGCACAGAAAGTCACAAAAACAAACAGTGGTCAGTATTTGTGTGTTTCTGTTCAGTTCATTACAAAATACAGCCCTATTCTCGCTGTAGAAATCGGTGAGGTTCGAACTTAATTCGAGATAACTCTACTAAAAAAGCGTAAAAGACTAAGTAATGCCAAGGACAACAGTACGCCGTGAGTGATCGTTCATCGTACCACTCGTACACACATATTGTTATGCTAACCTAGCTGCTGTAGCCTCAACCTTTACGTATCATTTCTTGAAAGGGACACCGCACGTCAGCACTCAACCATAATTACAGAGATGCTACGAAAGCAAGGACCAGGATTAAGGAACGCAAAAGATCACCTGTGTTTGTTGCCTCCATCGTGGCAGAGGTGCTCAAAACATTACCAAACTGCACTAATGTCACCTAGCTCGCGAATGCTTCCGCTGACGTCATTTTGTGGTCTCCGAACTACAAATCCCAGAAACGCCCGGGGGACAGGCAGCTTAACCGATGAATCAATAAATTAATTAACAGATTAATAAATATATATATATATATATATATATATATATATATATATGTGTGTGTGTGTGTGTGTATATATATATACACAAACATATATATATATACACAAACAAAAAAAATCTTAAATCATATTTAGAAATTGCGTGAACAATTTATTTAATCAATTTTATTTATTTATCTTGGTTCAAACAAGTTAGCTATGACTGGTGCAATTAAAATAAATGAAAACATATACAGATAGAATATTTGTATCCTATTTGTATATATTCTTCTCTGTATATATTTTAATTGATTTGTTTGACTACAAGCAAATCAATTAAAACAAGTCATCCTTTATTTGATGAGTTTATCTTTTAGCTGTCTTTCACCCCCTAATGCCCGCAGTATTATGTCCCAAATGAACAATGTAAAAGAAGTACACGCTCCTGCATTTTACTGATAGAGTACGGTAATTTAGTAGACATTAATTCAACTCTTAAAGATTTTTTAGCTGTGACTGTAAGGACTCTTAAATTCTCTGTCTTGTGCATTATCATTTCTATGCAGAAAATACTGAACTGTACATGTTGTAAGAAAACCATTATATTACAATGGATTTGAATGTTTTCTTAATTCAGTGAGTATGTGATATAGATAACTAGGTTTGGTCATCTTAGCTCTTGCTGAGTCAAGTCTTGGCTGTCTGGGAAGTAAAATACTTACAGGTTGGTGTGTGATTCAAACTGAACAAAGATGTTGTTCTGTCTGCTAAAACTTTTACAGATCACAGTTTTTGAAAACGATAAAGTCTAAGAACATATGACCAATTAATCTAACAATGACAGGCTTTAAAATGCATCTGGCAATCCTAAATAACACATAGAAAATGGATTATTATCATAGGACGTGTTGAGTGATTGTTCAGCAAGTAGAAGTACCAATCTGCAGTAGTGAGAGTACACTTATTTCATCTAATGGCATTTATCTGAGTTAAAATCCAGTAGTGCCGAATACATCTGAAGAATTTTCTAAGTGCATTCAAAATTTAAAAGGCAATGTCAGGAAATAATAAATAAAAAAAGTGTTATTCTGGTCTTCATTTGATACAAAATCATGAAAGCAACAAGGATTCTGTCAAAAGATAACCTGTTTGCAAAATGAAGTTGCCCTACCGCAAGCAAACAACTAGCTTCTCTGCATACCTCAAATACTTTGACAGGACAGGGCACCTGGGGAAAAGTATGCATATTAGTCAATTTGAGAAAAATTTAATTTTGGGTTTTAAAAATCTTCAATTTGAACAAAAAGCAGACACCACTGTACCTTTTGCCCTCCCTCTCCTGTCAGGCACACACAAATCCTGCACCAGCTGCATGGGCTCCGAAAACCTTCAAATGATTTCACCATTTATTGATAAAAATGAGGATCCATATTGTGAAAAAAGAAAATCTGAAACCAAAGGTGCACAAAAAAAATCAGTGTTTAGGTATTCTTGTAAACGCAGTAAGTAAGTCACCTTCCACCCACAAGGTGTCGAAGTTTGAACCACAGACTGCACAATGAGCATGGTAAGCCTGACCACAGTCAGCTGTGTGGCGGACATGCTGTCTGGATCCCATGCAAGAAGGATCCACCTGTTCAACCAAAGAGATAGGTACACAGTTACAGACAAACACACACACCTTGCAAGAAAAAACGGTCTTCACACATTATAGTCTTGTAGACGTAGACAACATTGAGAAACAGGTGTAAACTCTGCATCCAAACCACACACTTACTATGTGCGCCTTGACAAATCACACTTACCCACACACGCACAGACAATGTAGAGAAGCTATTACTCGTCTGCATGAAGTTCTCACGTATTGTTACCATGTAGTGCTGAGACAGGCGTTCTCCTCTGTAGAGAAGGACAGTTCTTCTTTCTGCAATTCAAGTGGCAGAAAGGTCAAAAACAAAGATTTCTACAGAGAAAAATCAAAGACAATGAAGAGAAACCACAAGCCATCACCTGTCTGCCCTTCACACATTTATGTTTTTAACAGGACACACAAAGACACGCAGAGACATATGAGCACCAGTCTCCCTCAATCCAGAAAGCCCACTATTCTGCTGACAACAGGCAGCCATCTGCAGGTTTTAATACCAACAGATCTCTCCAAAAAAATGCAGAACTTGCCAAAATTTCACAACAGGGCCACCAAATGGAGCTCACATGAATGACTGCACAACCGCTGAACCAAGCATGATTAAAACAATATTCTAGTGCCCACAAAATATTTTATATTAATTAGTTGACGTGGTTTTTTTATCCTGATGAATTGCAAACAAAACAAAAACCATGCAAGTGTTCTATATACGTCTGGAAATCTCATTATATACTGTTGCGAAATTTTAAAAGACAAAAGGTCTACAGCAACCTCTTGTGAAGAGGATGTTTGTTTCAAAGGACCTGCATACGGGCACAGTGTACCTTTTGATCTTGGAACAAGATCTAATGCTTTGACGATGCAGAGTTTTGTCTTCATGAACCAGCTAGTCTTTCCTCTGTTTTTTACTTCAACCACTAAGTTAAAAACTTTGAATTAACCATATCTTGGAACTGTGTATTTCCACGGGTTTTCTAAGATAAGACATCAGTCTAGGTTTGCTTGAAATCACAAATGTACAGCGCTTAGGCTTTCGCTGTAAAAGAAGCAAACCTACTGCTTTTTCAATCAACAGTTTAATGTGCATGGACACTACTTCAGTATCCACCTATTATACAGAGGTATCAAATCATCTTTGATACCAGATTATTTAAGATAGTTTTTGATTATTGGTTGCAAGGAAATTAAACGGTGCCACTCTAATAAGTATTACCTACCAACAGGAAGTTGCTCAGAGTTGTTGTACTTTGCTCAAAGTACAACAATCTATGAAGTTTTGGGGGAGGAGGTTCTGTACAAAATCGCTCAAAGGGAGAACAGACCCAAAGTCCATTCCGATGAACTAACAATCTGGTCACATTTCTCCTTTGTCAAAGAAAATATTCTTCCATGGGTTGCTTTTAAAATATTGCCATAGCAAGGGCAGTCACTGTGGCATATGTTGGAGATTTTAAGAATATGTAGGTCAAGATAGGAACTAAACACTAACCAAGTCCAGTTGGCTCCACAGTGCAATGAGATCTCTACCCCAGGTAGCATTCTGGCTGAGATGGCGAGGGCACCGACTCCCAACATTGATCCAATACTGCCCCAACAGCAGGTTCCCCTGAACCTGGCAGAAGGAGGTTAGCAAAGTTAAACCCTTTTATTGCATGCCTCACTGCTCTGGGCCAACCACCAGCTCCTCCAACTGTCCACTGATGGCCACAGAGCAAGCTACCAGTCACAGAATGTGAAAAGCCCAACACATAAATCTTTCTAGAAAAACCCAAATTCTGTATGTTATTTTTATATATACCTTTGTAAATATATATATGTATATATATTATGGCACAAGACAGTACTGAATAATTACAGTTATTCAAAGACATGTGAAGCAAAAGGGAGAAAATGGATTTCTTTCATTAAATAGAGTCTTTTTTTTTTTTTTTTTTTTAGAAGCTGTGTGCCCTTCTGGAGTATATTCTGGTTTTCTTGGCTGCTTCCTTTCCCCACTCCTGCGTCTTCAGAGACTTTGCTCAGCCGGTAGATGGAGTGTGGAGAAGAGATTTTAGTGAGTGTTTAAGGCTGAACCCCAGGGAGCCTCTTCAGGGTCGTTGGAGAACTGATAGTCCAAAGGCTCGGGTGAGGGGATTACAAACCCACAAGTAGACCACCGCTGTTAAGTCTTGCTGTGGGTCACCTTCTGCAAATCACCTCTGTGACATTTGGCTGAGGTCAGTAAAAGCATAGTATTAAAAGCTGAAGAAGTGACAGCAAAAAAGCACCAGACAGACTTTTGGGGAGTCTCATTCTGTCCAAAAATCCACTTGATTTCCTGGATTTTGATTGGTCGGGATCAGCGGAAAAAGAAGCCTGATGAGAGTGGGATTGTCTGTCAAACATGTGGGGCAGAGTTGGCCTAAGGCAAATGCAAGTTAAGCAGCAACTTAAGACCCCCATACATACAACCAGAGGTCCCCAAGAGTGTCAAGCAAGCATTACAAAAATATATTTGCATATTTAAAATACATTGAATAATACAAACTAAATCTTATTTCACATGGAAAAATTATTTCTATATTGTTTTTATAGTTGGTACACAAATAATAGGCCAATCACTTCCTGTTGTTTCCTGTTGCCTCTGTTGGGGAAATAAAAAATATTCAACATCTTACCTTTTTTACTGTAAAATTAGTGTTTGACAGCTGATGTTACATTTAGAAATTTAAAATATTATGTCACACTTAAATACGACTATATTTTAAAATCCCAGTTTGCTTCTTTGGTTAAAATCAATAGTCACTGCTGTTTGGATTGGGTTGGATTGCATTTATTGTCACTGAAGAAAATTCAACAAAATTTCCATTGCAACTCCTGTGCAAAAAGTCAAATATATACAATACATAAAAATAAACTGCACATTAATAACAATATATACAACTAAAATTAGCTAAAAGGCACTCGAACCACACTAAAGAAGAAGCAGCAGGTCCAATTATGGCAAGGTGCAGATGATGTGACAAAGTGCAAAGTGCAGAACAGTATGGCTGTGTGGAGGTGGGGGGAGGGGTATATGTTTGACTGCGAGGTTATGATATGTGCAAATGATGCTAATGATAGTATGTATGTTTCACATACTTGTACAGCAGCATAGGAATGATGTTGGATCTGGTGTAGATTAGCCCCAAATGAAACTATGCTTTAGGATCCTTAAAAGACTTCTGTTCCTTACATAAATTATAAGTCTACAAGGCTAAAAAAAAAAAAAAAAAAAACATTTTAATTGCTGTTCTTATCTGTTAGTATATATTGTTCTTTTTAA